CCTACATCATCCCAGTTTCCATGTCATTGTCCGTTTTCTTTGCATTCGATTCCCCATGACAGGTGGGGAACATATCCCTAAACTCTACTTGGACCCCAAAAGTAGGTAAAGTAATAGCTCAAAACCTTTAAATATGGCAAAAACCATTATTCCATATACTTTCTGGGGTTCAGGTAAGCCCTTGAAGCTTCAGGATGGTGGACCTTCACCACCCCCGACCACCCAGCCTGCAGGCATCCGTGGGGTTTTGGTGCTTAGGGTTGCCCATATCAGGATATTACCCCAGTAATGGAGAATCAAATGAAAAATAGCATGGGAATTAGGGTTCTATAGAGTTTACCATATCATGACTAGGTGTTCTTGTCATGAGGGATTTTCTGAGGATGCGAAGCAGTACCAAGTCAACCTGGCAGGTAGAGTGGGAAACCGCGTGCACATGCTTGATATTCTGGCTACATAGTCTTTCTTGCATCGCAGCGGAAGTACCGTGAATTCCTACACAATCCTGTGTTCATGGGTGCTTCCCCTAAGCCAACGGTGTCAAAGTCGAGCTAGACGTTTGCAGCAACTGCAGGCCCTCCGGAGCGGCACTCCAAATACAGGCAGTCAGCGGGGGTTGGGCGTATGAGGGCTGGGCGGAACAAAGTTTATTGCTAGCAGCATTGTCATGATTGCAACTGTTGCTCGGCTGCTTGGTTGGCAGTAGAATGCTAGAGCTGCTTCTGAGTTATGATTTGTTGTACATGTCATTGCACGATACTGGCCTTTGTCCGACTTGGAAGGTTGAAGTGGGCTGCGCAGGCGGGAGCTTGTCGTGAGATCTTTTCGCATAAGATCCTAGACTAAATACAATCAACCTCGCAAATTGTAGCAACAGCTCCCCACCTCACCTGAGATGGTGGTTAATGTAGACAATCTTTAATGTAGACAGTCTTCCCAAAATGGCATAAGAAATTCTTGTACATTGCCAGACTCAGGCATGTTGTCACTACTTCTATGCGTCTTTTGAATAAGATCCAGGGTTCTTCCTAGACTCGGGATGGTCATTGTGAACTACGTTGAATGATTACTCCGACCGCTTACCATCCTGCACACTTGCTGAGAAGGGAATCAAAGGCAAAACCAAATTATTTGGAGGCTGATCAGTGGCTCCACGCAGGGGTTACGCAAGCATAAGGTGTCTCGCAAAGGCTTTGTCTCCTCCCTTGCCATGTGTCTGCACATGTTGTTTGGGCGCCACGGAGGGGAGCTCCATTCTAACACATGGCCAACGAACGCGCAGTGTGGTCACCAAGTGCTTCCTCCAAAGACTCATCTAAGTGGTTGCAAGCTTGTGACACTACTGCCCCTTCTCTCCATCTGACCTCCAGGGCTACAACTTCTTTGACCAGTTCAACTTCCTCTGGGAGGACCACAACCACGGTGCGCCCACTTGAGCTTCCTGGTGCTCAGACGGGAAAGAGAGATCCCCCATACAACCCCCTATAATCGTTGCTACACCCCACTCTGCCATCCCCAGTCCCTACCAAGCACCAAAAAGTCAGCCCAGGGAGTCCATTGCTTGCTGTGCTTTTCTGGAAGTTTCTCAAAACTACTCCCCTGTAAAATCCTCGTTGACATCTCCTGTATCCATTAAGTCTCTGAGGGACCTACGTTGAGAGAGAACCGTGTATGCATGTCTCCATTTTTGGGGGTTCTAGTAACAGGAACTTTCGTCGCTTGCATTGTTTCAGGGGCTGATTGTAGGCGTGCGAGGAACTCCCAGATGTCCCCATCCAAAGTCACCACCTGCTCCACCCCACATAGTTAGTGAACGTCAAATAGGCTAAAGGGCTCAAGCGTGCGGAGGCACGTTTGATCAGAAGGATAGAAACGAAAGCAAAAGCCTGCGGGTTTAATGGCGTCTGATACTTCCTGGGACATAGCCTTCTGAATAGCATCATCCGTCTGAAGGACAGCGGACAGCAAGCAGTGCCAAACGAACTACTCCGGCAGGTTCCGCCCAGTATCTCCTGGAGCAGGAGGCTAAGGATGAGCAAGTCATCGAAGCGACAAGCTGCTTGGCTGGAATAAGATACTAAACCCTAAACCACATCACAGTAGTTTCCATTTTCTTTTCCATTATCCCTATATACACCCAAAACGAGGTTCGGATGTCAGTTTTTACCTTGCAGCGATTGCAGCAATAGGGACTCAGATCAGTAAGCAATGAGTGAAATTTCCTATCGGAGTTCCAGGACTGTGGGCGTTCTCTGAACATGAGGGTCGGTGATTCGATTTGTATATCCCTTTTCCCCAAAGCTGAAGGGCTGGTTGCGGCAGACAGTCGTTTTCTTTGCTCCTTTGGCCCCAAGGCTATGCTGTGATTCAGCATGACAGTTTCTGGGAGTGCAACCCCACTCTGTGGGCCAAGTACGTAAAACCTAGTTGGCGGGGGCACATCATGCATCACTGCAATCCTGCTCTTGCAGGGGAGCGTTTAGACTCTGCGCCGGGTCTCTAGTAAGGCCTATACGGTCATCATCTAGCTAGATCCCGAGATCCTCTGAGGCAACTGGGCGGTTATCCGTGCCGGGCGAAGAAGCCCGAAGCCAGACCCACAGCCATGATTGCATGCCTCCAGCCAACATTGAAGGGGCGCTTTGCCCACGGATGTCGAAGTAGTCAGGTCAAGATGTTGCGAATATTTCTCACACAAACTGCACACTTGCCTTGTGGCCCCCTGTCCAGTCTGAGGTACAAGTACAAGCGCATGACTGCAAGGTTGGACCCACGGCTGCATCGAGAACAATACAAAAGGCGGCCCTGACAATCCTGATTCAAATCATACCTATCCTGCCACTCTTCCTTCCGATGGCACCGGGCGTCAGGGAGGTAGATTGTGAGCTTGATAACCTGAGACTTGGTTGCTTGATGCCGCGAAGAATACTCCAATATAGCCAGGGGCCGATAGCCCTGAACACTGCTTAGGTTGTGTATACAGTCCGTCCATATTAATAGCAGAATGCAGTGCATGTGGTCGTGCTCACAACCGAGTCTTTTGAATCGGGTTTTTCAGTGAATCTGAAGTTCACCGGAAGATTTTGTGCCTAGGAATCCAAGCCGACCTGGAAGTATTTCCTTACCTTGATCAAGTTCTCCCATG